GGGTCCACACAGCCTGGACACACTATGGACTTGCGCGCTCACGCGCGTGGTGGCGGCAGAGGAAACGGCCACGGTGGCGTGGAGGAGCGAGGCGAGGCGATCGTCATGGGGGGGAACAACGGAGCTAGGGCCATGGCTCCAGCGCGGGACCAAGGGAGCCTCAAGCACGTGGGGTGGGGAAGAGCCGGCACCGGCGGACGCAACCATGGTGGGGTGCTGTGGCTCGGTACGGCGGGCGTGGCCACAGCGGGGTGCAGGCGTGCAGGACGAGGGGGGCGGGCGGCCAGATGAGGCATGGCAGCCCGACGACGGTGGCCGAGGAGCGGGGAAGGGGAAAACGACGCTGCAAACTGGTGCGGGGCCGAGGGTGATGTGGGAGCTCGCTAAGGCGGGTGCTGAAGGACCAGTGCGGCCGAGGAGCTCGTGCACAGGAGAGGCAGCGAGGCATAGGCGCGCCTGGCCATGGCGCAGACCGAGGCGGAGGAGGAAGGGACAGCACCGTGGACACGGCAGAGCCATGTGCTCCCATTAAAATTTTGGACACGACGCAAGCGAGGGAGAGAAGATAGGGGCGCAGGCAAATGGACGCGCCGGGGTGCAGAGCCACGATAGAAGACGTGATGGTGCATAATTGCAAAGCAAAGCGAGTACGCTGAAGCCGCACCAGGAAAAGTAAATGAAGACTGCTAAGCTGCTGCGCTATCTCACGTCTGTAACGTGTTTCACACCAACCACGTAAATTTATGAAGCGGTCAGACGGGCAGCTGTCGCGGGTACGTTACCAATTATCATAGGGACTGAAACGAGTCTATACGTAAAAACTTAAACGCGTCACTAGACCAAAGCTTTTCAACTGAGCGTGCTTATCAAAATAAACACGTGAGTATATATATATATATATACCTATAGATATTTCTATTGGTTTACTAATTTAGACAATTAGCAACATCTAGGCATAAGGAGATTTCAGCAAAGCTCGAATTTAAATTAGATTCAAAAGCTATATATATCGTTCTATTTATTAATGGATTTTATTTATAAAAGTTGCTTTTCATGCTTAATCTAATAGAATAAACCGTTCACTATCTATTGGCTAGAATTATCGTCCGACATTCCTAAATATCTTTATGCACTGAGTTATTTAACTTGGACGTTGATTCGAGTCCACAAAACTAAGTCTCACAGGATTCACTTATCACATCAAGTACGTTTTAAATTAAAAATCCGAGAAACTTGTTTCGAAAATTGTTCTTAGGCCTAAATCGCGGTACTAAACAAGCTCGTAACATCAGGGGTGTTACAGTGGGCGGCACGACGGGCTCCTACGCGGGCGGCACGGCCGCGGGGCGTGGTGGCTGGGCATGGTGGCGAGAGCGCGGGGAAGGGCGCGGGTGGCCCGGGGCGGGCGAGGGCGCGGGCGGCGGCGGCGGTGCGCTGGTTCTGGGCGCGAGAGAGATAGGGGAAGAGAGAAAGGAAGGGAGGGCCCATATGTAAGATAGGCTTGGCATCAATAACCACGGCGCCAAACTCGACGCCAAGATCTACGGCGCCAAGCGTGACGCCAAGATCTATGGCGCCGAGGTCAGTGCTGAGTTGTCTGCCAAGTCACCGCCACGTCTGTGTCGAGCCCAAGACCTCGACGCCAGCAATGATGGCGTCGAGACGTGTAAGCTCGGCGCCAGCAACGATGGCGCCAAGCTAAGGGTCCAGATTTTGAAATCATACCTTCAGGGACACATTTGTGATTTTTTTAAAAAAAAGGCTAAAAAATAAAAAAAAAAATTGAACAGACAGACAACCTTTTGAGCTGGCTGTGGTGCAGCTCACTGAGCACTGTGCTGCGCCCGGCGGGCGACACCATTTCACCTCACCTCCTCCACCTGGGTGCTTACGTGGCGCGGCACCACCGGCTGATCGGCGCAGGAATGGAGAAATGCTGCCTCTCCAATCCCCGTCCCTCGCTGCTCTGCTCTCCTCATCCCTCACTCCCTTGCAGAAGCAGAGCCGCAGAGGCTTGCTTCTCCCTCCAATAAAGTAGATATGTATATATTATGATCATCAGATGCCTACTACTCCAGCTATCAACTAAGCCTAATGTAATACCCTCGGTGTTACACTGTACAGTTTTTTGCTAAAACACTGCATGAGTATCATACTTATGTGTATGAATTATAGAGTCTAAATCAATTTCTGTGGCTCGAAACGTTCATCGGAAACGCGAAACGGAAGTTATATTTTATGTCGCGTTATATCGCTTAGAGTTCTAAATGAATTTTTACTGAACGGAAATGCTATAGAACGCGTATGCGGCACTTTAATAAGATTGGTAGTACAAACTTCATAGGTGGCGATGAAATACTTATGGTCGAAAATGGGGTTCGCTAGATAGCTTATTTGATAGCTTGGAAAATGGATCGACGGAGCGAAGTTTGAGAATTTGTATAGGAGAATCGATTTAAGTGGTGGTATGGGTTTAGGGTTTCTTTTAGTAGCTTGACATGTCATTTTGAGCGTAAAATAGTTAGTTTAGCGATTGAAGCCTTGAGATGGGTTTTTGGGACGCTTTAAAAAGCGTGCAAGGCACATTCCCGAGCGGGTGCTGTGTTTGGCCGCGGTCACCGCCTCGGTTCGGCTCAGCGCCGCTGCACTGACTTGCCATTGGCTCCGCATTGCGGGCCACGGCCGCAGCGCTACCACGCCCAAGCACGCGCCACCACGCTGGTGCCGGCGGGCCCAGTCGCTCTGCTCCGCCACTGCCGCTTGCCTCGCTGTGTCCTCGCGCGGTGCTGGCCTCGGTCGCAAGCGTTGCATCGCCCGCGTGCGCTCTCGCCGCCGGCGTCGCGTCTGCCTGCGTTGCTGCGCCACCGTCCCGTCACCGTGCCGCTGTCGCCCGTTCACCGTGTAGTTGCCTGCGCTACGTTGGGTCACGTCAACGCGCTGTTGTGTGTTGCGGCCGTGAGTCTGCATCGCCCGCGTACGCTGCACCGCTCGCGTCGCGTCCGCCTGAGACGCTGCGCCGGCACGTGACCGTGTCACCGTCTCTTGCAAGTCAATGAGTTGCGCCTGCCGAGCCGTGCCAAATTGTACGAGCACGTGTGTCGTCCCTGTGTGTGCCTTGTCCGTTGCGTTGCGTGGCGAGCATCGCTCTGCGCTCCCGGTCACCTCTGCCATTAATGGCGTCGCGCCGGAGTCGCCGGTCCGCGCCAAGGCCAGCTCGCAGCGCCGGTTGAATCCACAAAATTGCGTGCGCTTGAGGATTGGGTAAGAAGCTAGCTACGCGCCGAACACTTCCATTGCTGCTGCCAGCCGGTGTCGAGCCCCAATTTGAAATTCCTTCGCCGTCGGCCACTTTAAGACTCCACGGCAGCGCCCGTCAAATTCCCCTAGCCCCGTCCAATTCGTTGGCACTGTACCTTCGCCCTGCTCCACTCTATCCCGTGCGCACCCCATTTCGCCCTACTACTGCTTGCTCAGCGCTGCCGACGTAGTCGCACCACCGCCGCCGTCGCGAGGCTTGCCGTGCGCGCGTGGCCAGACTCGCTCGATTAGTCTCCGGTCAAGCCACCACGTCCGGTAGGTTCGGGGTGAGTCGTTGTTGCCCATCCTTGAGCTTGTTCACGTTGTCTGTGCCTTGGCTCACGGGACGTGCCCGCCGTCGCATGGAGGAGCCCGCCGTCGGGGAGGGAGCTCAGGACAGCATCTCCGTTCGCCGCGTCACCGCCCATCACTTCGGGTTTACGCCTAGGTGAGCATCGGCTCATAATTGGGGGCGGGGAAGGGCCGGTCTGGCCGGCGTAATCGGCCGGTGCGTTGGTAACACACATAATACTCCATGCTGTTTACCTTGACTGTTTAACATGCCCCATTGTGGTTAATTCAACAATGCTGCTGAATGTCCCTGTTTCCAGTTTTCACAGATCAGATTTCTTGAGCACCATAACAGTACTCAGAGTCATATTATATTTGTCAAACACAATATTCAAATTAATTGTAGTGTTTTGTTAAGATCCAGATTGCTGTTCGTACACCCCAGTCTATGTACAGGTAAATACTTTTCAAGGGCATTTCGGTCATCCTTTATTGAAAAGTGCTACTACCTAGATGTGCCATACACACATGCCTTGGTTATAGACTTATTACAAAACCAATTACATAGATGGAGGCTAATTTGCAAGGCGATTTTTAAGCCTAATTCTTTTGCATAAAAGGACATTAGGGATTTGTCAAACTAAGTAAATTATGTAATTAGGTAATTAGTCTATATTTAATATTCCATGGGGGCATCAGGAAGATAGAATCATATCTCAGAATTCTTTATTAACATCAATTAAAAAAGTATTCAGCCTTAAAGCATCAAATACGAAACTAAAGGAAAATTGGGAGTACAGTATTGGGTGGCCTTATTGGCTTCAAAACAATTGGATTATAGATAGAAGAATAAGAGATACCAAGCTATAAGCCTTTAACTGCTGCTAAATTTGTTGTTCGTATTGGTCCTGCAGTATAGATGGCTTCCTACAAACTCCACTAGTTCAAACCTGAAGACCTTTGAGGAAAAATCCTCACCCAACAGCATCAATGTTTATTAAAAAAGGGGGCGTACCCAGTGCAGAGAGCTCCCGCTCTGTGCGGGGTCTAGGGAAGGGTGTTAGTGGCAAGCCTTACCCTCGCCTGTGCAATGCGAGGAGACCGCGATTCGAACCCGGGACCTTCTGGTCACAGGCGGTAAGACTCTACCACTTGCACCAGGCCCGCCCTTCAGCCTCAGAGTTTATTATGGAATAGATTTTCTTGGCAGGTTTTGCACATATAATTTACTCCTGAAAATCTGACCTAAGCTTCTTGTTGCAGTGGGATGTCCAAGTATTCTATGTGTTTGTTCAGTTTTTTCATCAGGTTCTGTTCAGCTTCATTGGTCACAGTGGCCTTCTCAAAACTCAGCACATCCTAGATGGTTTTCTACTAGCAAAGGGCTTCTAGGAGCAGGACCCAGTGGCATAATGGCTGCTGATGCTATTGTAACAGAATCTGGAGCTTTACATGTTGCTGGGGTACCCTTTGTTAATCCATCCACTGTAGTTGTTTGGGGAGTGATGCCAGGTCTTGGAAATGGTATTCAGGCAACTGCGAAGATAAATGCAACAAGTTCTGTTCCTCCGTCTCTGAATCCCCCTTCATGGCCTGGTTTTGCTCCGCTAGCGGCCTACCTATTTTCTTTGCAAGATTATCTTGTTTTCCGAAGAAGGCAATCGCCAAGGTTACTTGCAAATTCGCAAAAAAATCAAGATTCTGCTATCCAGAAAATACAGCACATGATGAATGCTAAGACAGAGGACAACAGTACGACAGTAAGATCTGGTATAGGGGCTGCCAAAGTAGAAGATGGCCAGTCTACGCTTGGTGGGCAATTTGTTCTTGGTGCGAAGGGTGCTGAAGAAAATCCGATTGGAAAATCTGTTAGAATAGGTTCTGGCAACGCTGGGCAAGGTTATACTTCAGATGAGGTGATTATCAAATTCTTGGCAAAATACAGTATTTTTTGTCGCAACCTAGGGTTTGTTCAATGGAAATAAGCAACATCGTATAGGCTGTGTTTAGTTCGCGAAATTTGGGAATTTGGCTACTGTAGCACTTTCGTTTTTATTTAGCAATTAGTGTTCAATCATAGACTAATTAGGCTCAAAACGTTCGCCTCGCGATTTCCAACCAAACTGTGCAATTAGTTTTTTTTCATCTACATTTAATGCTCCATGCACGTATCGCAAGATTCGATGTGATGGCTACTGCGGTACTTTTTGGGAAACTTTTTGGGAACTAAACACAGCCTCAGTTAAATAGCTGCACAAATCCCTTTTTTTACACTGTTTAATATTGAGTGATACTAAAGGAAACTTTGGGAGTTAGTGCGATCGAAGTGATCGTTGGCATTTGAACTTTTCTTTAGTGAAGAAGCTGACGATGTTCCAAATGCGCTGGAAAACTTTTGTGACCTGAACATAGTGACTAGTTTGGAAACAACTATGTTTTGGCTCCTGCATTTCTTTGGAAATGTCTAGCCTTGGTTGCTATGGTAGAACACATGTTGATATAGCCATCATATAGTGGAATTGCATCTGTAGGTTATTTTAGACCCTTGATTTAAGCAGTTTAATATTTCATCCAGCCTAGCATGGACAGCGGTTTGATTGCATAGTTTGTTTATGATCTCTTATTAGTGATTTGCAGGATGCTTTACAGATTTGTCTTTCTATTCTTTGGAAGACTTCTTTTTTGTCTAGTTTATTATCTGTGTGTGCCTGAATCATGATTATGGGCTCATGTTGAGTTTCAACTCTAGCCTACCCCAACTTGCTTGGGACTAAAAGGCTTTGTTGTCGTTGTTGATCTAATTATCTGTGTAATTTTATCTCGTTGTAGGTGAAGGTCCTTTTTCTTATATTGGTTGACCTGTGTCGAAGGACATCTACCTTGCCGCATCCATTGCCTGCCTCTCTAGCTAGGTTGGTTCCAGCAGCATTATCATAAGGTTGCACTACATTGATGGCAATTACACTGTGCTCCCTGAGGTAGTGGAAGCATCTCTTGGTCTCCATATGCAGGTACTAGTCAAATTCTCATGGAAGTTTCTAGTAGTCGTTTTTTGGTACTATTTGTGGCCATTTTTGAGCTACCAGCATATATATCAATTATAGGAGTATAAGTTGATTTTCAAATGAACCACTCAGATATATTAAGTCTTTCTGTTTTGGACCGAATTCAGGACGGACACCTTTAAATGTTGATTAGGGTTCTCTTAGCAGAAATTATCTATCTTGTATTAGCCATCTTTTTATGGAAACATGCACTACTGTCAGGGCCTTAGGCACGTCATTTTGAATGATCCCTTGATGCCTAGGTCCCCATCTATTTTCAATATTCATTTTCCTATATCTGTGACTGTAGAATATGCCTCGTCCACGAGGAGCTGATGCTGCTGGTCTTCTACTTTGAGAATTAGAACTGCAACCTCCTGCAGAAGAATGGCACAGACGCAACATGTTTGGTGGACCCTGGTCAGAACCAGATGATTTTGGTCCATTGGACAATATGCCTCGTCTAAAAATTAGTGGTTCCATCAACTCTCATTTGTCTGACATGGAAGAGGATGCTGGCAGTTCCATTGGGATTCATAGTCTTTGGCCAAGAAAGTGTGGGTTATCTGAAAGAGAGGCGGCATTTGGTCTGAAAACATCTGTAGGTCTTGGAGGTTATCTAGGTGTCATGGGATCTCGAAGTGATGTTGTCACGGCTGTGTGGAGAACAGGCCTTGATGGTGAATGGTACAAGGTGAGTATAGTTATGGTTGCTTTACCTTTTGCTGTCAAGTCTGGGTTCATAGTTCCTTGACGAGTTTTTATTAGAGAATCCTGGGTGCTCTCCTGATATACTTTGACACCAAAATTTGCTGTTTCTTCTTTCTAGTGCATACGATGTTTACGGCAAACTTGTGCATTTGCGCATCCTGGTGCCCCAAATCAGACAAATGAACGTGAGGCTTGGTGGATCAATCGGTGGAGCCATGTCTGCCCAATGTGTGGGGGTTCATGGGTGAAAGTTGTTTGAGTGGGTTCATTTGGCAACAACTTCGCTGCTGATTGCTTTCTTGGCAAATATGTATCAACTTCTATAGTTTTGCATCTAACGCTACTCCTAGATTCAGGTTCAGGTCAGAGGATCATGCTTGGTCTACAGGCACATGTACTTGGCGTAACAACTGTGGAAGCCTATTGTAGAATTAGGAGCAATTCTGGTGGTCTGAACCATGTAACTAACATTTGCATTATGCTGTCTTCGTGTACATAGTGTATTATTAACCAGTGGCATTCCTTACTAAAAGAAGAGCGACATTGTTACATGTTCAGTGCTGGACGTACGTTTCGTGTTTTGTTCGTGCCTGCGTGCGCGTGCACGTGTTACTTTTGAAATGGACGTACTAATGGAGGTATGCTTCCTAAACAATCGAAAGCCACGTTAATCTGACTTGTGTTAGGAACCCCTGCTGGACTTGCCTTGCTGGGAGAGGATAGCCTTGCTCCACCAAGCAGGTGGCGTTTGGATAGTGGGAAATGAGGGGAGGGAATGGGAAATGAAGGGAGGAAAATATCCTAACCCATGTTTGGATTATAGGTATGGGAAATAAGAAGGGTTAGGGTTAGGGATAGGGAAATCCAAACCAAGCGGGAGGGGTGGAGTTACGATGGGAAATCCACCGCTCGGGCCATCGCAGCCACACCTCGCCTAGCTGTGCGAGACGCCGAGCCGACAGAGCTGCAGGCCGTCGCTCGCCTCGGAGACACCGCGCCACCGGAGCAGCCGCCGCTTGCCTCAGCTCGGAGACGCCGCGCCGCCGGAGCAGCCGCCGCTTGCCTCAGCTCGGAGATGCCGCGCCGCCGGAGCCACCGCTCACCTCGAATGGGCCAAGGCCATTTGCATGCTGCCACCGCTCACCTCGAATGCCACCGGATGCGTTGGAGCAGGAGCAAGCCAAGGCCATTTGCAGCTGCCAGCGTTGGATGCCTGTCTTTCCCCCTGTCTTCTGTCAGATGAGCACATGGACACGGAGAACTGTCGGGCATTTTTTTTATTAGCAAAAGTGAGTGGCATAAAGCTGCTGTTCCAAACCAACAGCAGTAGCACGTTCGGTTGGCTGGTTCGTATTATTGTTGGTTCGTGAAGAAATACTGCTAGATGGTTTGTGTGAGAGAAAAATACTGTTCCGACTAAAAATTTAGGATCGTTTACGATAAGCCACAGCCAAACAAAGATGCTTAGCTGATAGGAGATTAACCAGACCATAACCCAGCGTAACCCACCTATTTCCCTATCCCTTTCTCAAATTGTATCCAAACGCCACCAAAGGGTAACGTTACTACGTACCGTGTTCTGCTTCATGGGTATGCTTCTAAAGTAGCTTTTGTTTAAAAATTTGAATGATCTCATTGATTTCAGGTATGGAACGGTATTCCACTTCCACCAAACCATCATATCGGCAGCATAAGCATCTTCATGTTGTAAGGGCAGAAGGTTAGTTGATGCTTTGCTTTTATATTTGACAAAATACGGCAGCAAGGATTGGGCCCTGGTGATGTTTCATATAATACAATAATCACTGGCGTGGCTTGGCTGGTAAAACTGATAACAATGAAACTCCTCGATGCTATGGTTTTGATTGGCTTGAAACCTGATTAATTATCTTATAATATACTCACTTCGTTCTAAATTATAAGTTGCTTTAAATTTTTTTGGTACTTAAAATTTATTATGTATCTAGACATACGGTAGATCAAGATGCATAGTAAAATAGATGTATCAAAAAAATTAAGCGACTTATAATTTTGAAAGGGAGGGAGTTATGATTAATGGCCACCGTAAAACTGGAGGTGCAGGATGCACTATCTCTGTTCAGTCAAATGCTGAGTAAGGGAGTTAAGCCTGGCTCTATCTCACATCCCATGACATGGTAAGTGTTTTTCAGACATTGGCGACTGCTGCTGGCCTTCTTCGAAGGAAGGCCTTGTTTACATGCCATTCAAATTCCAAGTTTTTTCACTCTCTTTCCATCACATCAATTTTTAATGGAGTATTAAAAGTCTATCTCGAGATGAAGCCTAGTTGGTCCACGATTGGACAATATTTGCCAAATAAGACGAAAGTGGTACTATTCATCGGGTTCAAAAAATTTGCAAAGTGAACAAGGCCGAAGTCTATCTCAAAGCGACACACAGGTGGAAAATTTGCAATATAATATAATTGTAATAGGGATTTTCGAAGGTAATTGTGCTGATGAAGAAACTATGCATGAGTCATTTCAACTTTCTCATTATCGTCAAGAACTTTAGAGGCTCTTCTAACTTAAGTGGGCATAATGGGCTCTTTTTAACCAAAAAAAAACTATATATGATTGAAGTTTTATGTGTTTGTTGTATTTGAGCTTTCCTTTTGGACTTCAGGCATAATTCACCTTATGTTTCACATATTGTCTTAGTAATTGTATTTTTGCCATTTTAAGTATTGCATGTTTTCAGTTGCAGGTTTTCTAGTTGCTTTGAACATGTGCTTATTATGTAGCACCACATTTGTTCACACACCTGTGGTCCTATACAGAGAATTTCAATTGCATGTTTTCAATTTATACTTCGCACATGATGTTATTATTTTCCATCGAAGTTTCAGCACATGCCTGTGGGCTGTGGCTCAATGGAACTTTGATTAGGGATTCTGTGAGAGCATCTTCTAGCTAAAGGCAAATCATGGAATATGGTTATTAGTCAGCATCTGTACCTCTAGAAACATCATGTTGCTCTGTTCATTTGAACTTGTTTGGCTGATAAGCCATGGCTGAAAGTATTGTTGACTGATTTAGTGTAAGAGAAAAATATTGTTCGTTGGCTGAAAAAGTACGACTTATAAGCCAAACAAGCCCAAGCGAACATGGCGATGGTTATTAGTCAGCGTACTCCCTAGGAAGGATTTTGAGAAAATTAATTTGGTTTGCACTTTATGATAAATTGTCATTTTCGAACTAGAAAAAAAAGACTTGTACAGTAAGATCTAAGATGTATGAAATGGCAAGCCTGTTCGGCTGGCTGTATCAGCTAGCTTATTCGCTAGCTTATAAATCATGGTACAATATTTTTCTCTCTAAAAAAATCAGACATACAAATCAGCACCAGGCGGCTTTACAGCCAGCCGAACACTCCCTGCATCCGAGGAATTTGAGCTTCTCATTGCATAACGCTTCATTTGCACGCCTTGTAGCTGTTAGTAGCCTGTATTGAGAAATCATAAGTAAAAGTACACTTGTGTACATGGCCTCGGTCCTTTTGAAATACAGGATTTTTTCCCCATGAAAATAAACTGATTTTGAAATTCCTATACGATTATTGCGAAAGGCTCTTCCTCAGTTTTTCGGTGATCAACCAAGACAAGAAAGTGAAAATTTGTCCGGTTTAAAATCCATATATAGCGATTTAACAACTTGGCACATCTAGTGATTCACCATGCTCCGATTTGAGGACGATCGAATCGGAGCCGTCCATTTTATTAAACAGTTCGGGCAGCACTTCAGCTCGGCTGCCGCGAGCGCGCAGACTCCCGGACCAAACGAGACGAAGGGGTCCAGATCTCTCTCCCCCGTCTCCGGCGATGGCTTCGCCTTACGCCGGCGGCGTGCAGCCTCCCTCTCCCGCTGCGGCGGTGCAGCAGCAGCAGCAGCAGCAGAACCACTCCCTGGCGTTCCGCGTGATGCGGCTGTCTCGCCCCTCGCTCCAGCCAGACCTGGCCGCGCTGCTCCGCTTCGACCCACGCGACGTCTTCCTCCCTGAGGACGCGCTCACCGGCTGCGACCCGTCGGCCGCCGCCAAATTCCTCGACGGCCTTCTCCACCCTGCGGACTCCGCCACCGCCGTCCCTGGAGACTTCACCTTCCGCGACCGCTTCCTCCTCCGCGACCCAGCCGACGCGCTCGCTCTGCCGGGCCTCCTCGTCCTGCCCCAGTCGTTCGGGTTCGCTTCTCCCCCTCCCAAATCCTGATTCCGGTGTCCTGTCCTGCTCCAGTGCAGCGATCGCTGATTTTGGTGTTGTTCTTGTGTGTGCGTGGCTAGTGCTATCTATTTGGGCGAGACCTTCTGCAGTTACATCAGCATCAACAATAGCTCCAGCTTTGAGGCCAGGGACGTCGTCATCAAGGTGTTCTATCGAGCGAAACCTCTTTTTGTCTGGCAAATTTAGAAATGCATTTGAACTCTTGGGTTATTCTGGCAAACTGGACTAAATTGGTTAGTGATAACTGATAAGTACATTTACAGCTGATTAAACATCTAGGTTACTGCATTTGTTCTATTATCGGATCTCGAATATCAGTGGTGCTGCACTGCTGCTTGTTGTCATTATGTCATGAGCCAAGGTTTGGATCACCAGTCACTAGATTAGTCAGTGCACTTGTTTCTCTTATGCTATGTCTCTGCATGAGTAGGATGAGTTGAAATGATTATAAATTCAGTGGGAAATTTAGTTAAGAATTTACTCCAGATGGTCTGTTGCTTTTGTGCTGGAATGAGTATAGTTCTGATGATACATTGGCAAGTTTCTCTCTATGTTGAAACTTGTGGTACACAGTTACCTTGAGTTTTACAAGCTATAACTGGATTCAGTAGAGCAACTTTTTTTATGCACATGAGTCGTGAGCTAGTAAAGCAACCAACCATCTGATGGATACATGAGAACCTAACATTCATGCAATTTCATGCTCTTCCCCTTATGATCAAGAATCCTTTTTAAGCATATCTCACCTTGTTTGATTCATAAATTATTACTTTATGCTATTTATGGATGCTTGTGAACTGTAAAGTTCTATATGTTTTGTCAATGATAATTTGTGGACATATTTGAAGTAAAATATTTTGCATTGATATAATCGTTGCAGCCAAATAATAAGTTCCTTACTTTCATCATATCCATAATGTTTTTTCTCAGTGTGGATAGACTAGAAAAATGTATGTATTCTCCCTCTTTTTAAGTATCTAATGCTGGATGCATTTACTGCTGCTTATTTCAACATAAAGTTTGATTGGTACCTTACTTACACTAGGCGGAAATACAAACAGAGAGACAGAGAATACTTCTTCTGGATACATCAAAGTCCCCTGTTGAGTCAATTAGATCAGGGGGTAGATATGATTTCATTGTGGAGCATGATGTCAAAGAACTAGGAGCACATACGTATGTTCCTTTTCATTTTAATATTATCCATATATTATTCCTTTGCTAAAAACAATCCTTTTTGTTGATTTGCTCATTTAGTGATTGAATCCAGGCTTGTATGTACTGCTTTATATAATGATGGTGATGGAGAGCGTAAATATCTTCCCCAGTTCTTTAAGTTCTCTGTTTCAAATCCATTATCTGTTAAGACAAAGGTAACTAGTTTTCATTCTACATTCTGTTATATCTTATTATCATAATCTCATAGTAGATAGAAGAAGCAGAACAAGATTATACAGAAGTCTTATCATAATTTGTGTACATCCTTTTCTTTTTCAGGTTCGCACCATCAAGGTAGGTCACCTGTTGTTGTGCAAGTGTAAACAACCATTGTAGGTTCTTTGGTTAGTTGTAGATGCCATCTTTAGAAATCTTAACAGGTGTATATTGAAGGTCATTACAGATTGGCAATTATAACTTAAAAAACGATTTGCGGTTAGGTGAGTAGTTTTTGTGTGTCTTATAGATGTTTATGTTTTGTTGTATGAACTAACAGCTCTCCCATTTTTTCGTAATAATATTTACCAAGATTTTTCTTTGGTATTTCTTGCCATCCCATGGAAGCTGAGCTAACTCAGTTGGTTAAGGGTGTGGATGTACACTCAGATCACCCAGGTTCAAGTCCTCATCGAGGCAACTTTGGGTGCCTGTTTTCTTCTTAATATAAAGCCACCTAGCTCCTCCTAGGTTGATCTAGTTTTTTTCTTGCCATCCCATTTGTTGTGCTTCTGTAGTTGTTAATACAGTGCTTTAGGCTTTTCATATATTTTTTAAGTGAACGTTCA